GTGCATAATGCATTTTTGGTCATCGAGAGCGATGCCAAAGAGTAAGTGTGGGGGAGTGAACTGGGCATTCGGGCAGTAGTCGTTACATGTGATTATTAGAGCTAGCATGTGCACGTGTTAGTTGTATATTCATAGAAAAGTCAAGTCAAAATTTTTTTAAATTTTTCTTTAAACTGTGTCTTTGTGAGCTGACTAGCATTTTGACTATGCTTTTAGGATGTCCTTGAAGTGTTTAGGCTTAAATTGTTTGCACTATAATCTAATTGTTGAAAGGATGAAGGCATTAGTCACCCATTTAATTCATAATTTTTCCATCTCACCTGAAAAAGTCCTTTAGGAAAAGCCACTTTGAGCCTAACCATTTTGTTCCATACCCAATCAATTGAGCTCCATAATCAAATGGCCTGTGTTCCTTACCCGTGAATATTTCTGACTTAGCCTTGGCATTTAGGGAACTAGGAGATTAATTTGTTAAGTTTATGGAATTTGTGTAGGAGCCATTTTTGGCACTGCTCCTATGCCCCAAATGGGGTAAGAGCAGTCACTTTTTAGGATATTGATACTTTCGAGGATTGCATTGTAGGCATGGATTCACTTTGAATTAATGAACTTTAATTGCTATTTTTTTCTTGGTGAGGCCGAGATTAGAATGGGGTAATGTCTAGTCAGAATCCGAAAGGTGAAAATTAATATAGCTAGACCTCTTACCTTGCGAAAAAGAGAATGGGAGCCCCGGTCAAAAAGCGTAAGTGTTCGCACAATAAGATGAGACTTGGGTATCTTTCGAAAGAAATGGCGTTCTCGTGCCAACATGACAAGGAAAACTGAACTTATTTAATGAACTTGGAGGCTTTAGAAAAATTAGTTTTAGTCCTCCACGTACTTCAAGTATACGTCAAAGAACCAATGTGCCGAGACGGTTTAGCTTAGTTGTACACCATGTCTACTCTTTGCATAGGCTTAGAAGATTCTTCCTAAATTGTGGCCTACTGAGTTCCTTGATCCTAAGAATAGCCCTGAAGTTTCTGAATGCATTGAGTCTTTGTTAGAATATTCCAATTTCTCAAAAGAAACGGGCTGCTTATCACCATTCACCATTACCTTCACAAGTCCTTCTGATCAATAGCTAGTTTATTTGTGTATGCTGTCATTACTTTAAGGATGTTGTGAATAACTTTGTCAAATATTTTAGCTAGAGTACAAAGATGTAGTTTAGGGAAGAATTTTCTTGGTTTAATTTGTCTGTTCTGTGAATACCCCTTTAACTACATGTGCATGCTAATTGTTTTGATTTCGTGTGGTGATTATCGTAAGCCCCATTGTTCAGTTTGATTGAGGACAAGCAAAAGCTTAAGTGTGGGGGAATCTGATAAGTCCGTATTTAGACATGCATTTGATGCGTGTTGGGATCAGGTTTGATGGTTTTCCCTAGCTTGAAGGTGTTACAAGTCTCAATTTTAGCTCAACTTATGTTTACCGGGCGTTGGTTCGAGTTTTGTGTCATTTGGAGTCAAAATCAGGATTTTAGAGTTCGGCACTGGCACTTGAGGAGAAATCGGGATGAGTTGAAAAGAATTTGAGATTGATTTGAGAGCTATGAAGGTCAGCGGGAGGTTTACGATGAAGATTTGATGACAAAAGAGCTCTAGGATTGGCTTCGGGATCAAAAGAAGATGAATGAAGCTTGAAAACGACGATCAAGATGACCTTCTGTCAATCATTCAAGAATATCTCTTTGTAGAAACAACTAATAGACATGATTCAAGTTGTATATGAAAGACAACTTCAAAGGATACAAATCATATTAATACACCATTACGAGAATAGGAGAGCAAGAAGGTGAAAATAGATGAGGAAGTCAGGTGATCTCTGCTGCGCTTTCAGAATGACACCTTCCACCATTTTGATCATATCTCTTGATTGGATGATTCAAATCACATTCGGCAAGTTGGGGTGGATAGAGGACTTCATTATCTAAAACTTTCATGAAGGACGTTTTGTCAAATTCAAACTAGAGAAAAGTCTGAAGAACACGGACGCACGACCGTGCGTCTGGGACGCACGATCGTGCGTAAGAGCCAAAACTGTGGAGGAGTTACTGCCTGCTACGCACGATCGTGCGTAGCCAGGGACGCACGATCGTGCGTAGCTCCAAGTTACGTGCGGAAATTTCTCACATCGATCAGAATTGTGATTTTTCCCCTCTTTTCTATAAATAAGGCCTCCCTAACCCTTTTTAGTGGTGACGAACATTACAGAGACGCCTAGTGACGAATTTAACACCGTTTTTACGTTATTTTCTTCCAAGACCCTGAGATTATTTGTAAGTTCATCTTTTTAATTAATGACAATTTATTCTATTCTTCCCAATTCTGTTGATTCTTCAATTATGAATTGTGAGTAGTTTAATTAGGGATTTGGGATTGATGAAGGGGTTAATCATGATTGATGGCTAGATTCTTTTCGATTTAATTGCATGAATGCCGTTTAATTTGTGTTTGAATAATTTAACTGATATCTTTTGTAACCTGGAACCGCGGCTAGAATTACAATTGCACATAGAATAAATTAAGAGAGATCTAGTTTATTCTAGGACACATTCACACACACTTAATCGTTGGCTAAGAGATTAGTAGCGATTAAGAGGCCGTAAGCTCGCTCGTTTTGGCAATAATTTAGAATCTTGTCGCATGAGAGATCTGCCTGGTCCCCTAAATTATTGTACTCTACGCCGCGAGAGCGGTAAGAACTTAGTATTGATTAGCTAGGCTCAATTAAATTAATTTCATGTAAATAGGCCTTATCTGCCAGAAATTTGATTACCCCGGAGTCAATCCATGCTCCCTTCGTCGTTAATTAGAGAGAATCCAATCTTTTATTTTAATCGTTCATTCGCATTAGTTTAATTTTAATTCAACCAACCAATCTCGCACGACTCATTTATTTTATTTTATTCCTTTTTAATCGTTGAATTTAATTAATCCTTGATTCCCTTTTGTCCGTCCCTGTAGAGACGATACTCGTACTTTCACCGCTATTCTACAATCTTTTAAAGTGCGAGAAAACTAACATCAGGGACCCCCTTAATTTCTTATGATGGAGTTCATGGGAACGAGAAGCATGATATGGTATTTCTCATTGTAAGAGCAAACTTGTTGAGTTGTTGTATACTAAGGTATAAAAAAAGTAGGTAGGCATAAGGCATTAGGGTTGGGTCCGAAAAATCGAAAACTGAAAACCGAATCAAATCATACCGAATCGTAGCCAAATAAAACCGAACCGCTAACAAACCGAAACCGAATGTAAAAAACCGAACCGAACCGTAGTTGTTTGGTTCGGTTTTGGTTTTTACCCTTCAAAACTGAACCGAACCGAAAAAACCGAACTAGTTAAAATATACGGGGTAAAGTTTATTTGTCCATTGTTAAGCGTTAATCCTAACTAATCCTAATATCATTAATAGTTTTTGGTTTTCTTGTGCTAGAGAAATAATGTTTATTATGTTTAGTCCAGTTTGTGAATTTATTTACACATTCATTGCACGTAATAATATAGCTATACTGATAATATGTTTTTACTTGTTATTAGTATTAATTAACTTTTATTTTTATTTAACTTAAAGAATTCGTATTGATGAAACAATAAATATTTATCTCAATTATATCACATATAACGTATATACTCATGAACTTTTTTTGAACTAGTGACAAACAATGTAAATTAATAATATATAGTTTTATCTCTCTCGCATACTCATATAATTCATGACATATTTATTTATTTTCATTTTTATTTTATTTGTTGTAGTGTGCTTGCATTCTTTATGTAATATATGTTTGATCCCTCAAAGTATTATATCAATTTTAAATCAAATGATATTTTTTTGGTAAAAAACCGAAAAAACCGAAACCAAATCGAAACAAACCAAACCAATTAAACTGTGGTTCCAAGTTTTTGGAGTGTAGAACCGAACCAAAACCGAACCGAACTTTTTACTTTGATTCTATATTTGGTTTTAGGTCAAAACCGAACCGCAAGAACAGAACTCATCCTTATAAGGCATACATAAATGTAACTTGTATACGTACCTTCGTACATGTATATTTTAACTTTGGTCTTTAGATATTGGGAAAATGGGCAAATAAGGCCACGTACTAACAAAAAAAAGGTCAAATAAGGCCTTATTTATGAGGCTCTGTCCGGCCTTCGCCATTTGGGTTGGTTCTCGATGGAATTTTTTGATGACATTTTTTGAGCATCTTATTCAGTAAGTCTAGTTTACTCATACCAAATTTAAGCTAAAAATGCAATCAGGAAGTCATTCAAATGAATTCTTTAAGATAATTACGTAGTTAAAAGCGCAGTTATCTTCAAGAATTCATTTGAATGCTTTCTCGATTAAATTTTTATCTGAAATTTGGTATGAGTAAACTAGACTTAATGAATAATATGGTAAAAACTAATTCATCAAAAAATTCCACCGAGAACCACCCCAAATGGCGAAGGCCGGACAGAGCCTCATAAATAAGGCCTTATTTGACCTTTTTTGGTTAGTATGTGGCCTTAGTTGCCTCTTTTCCCTTAGATATTTTAAAGGTTGGCTATTCATATATACAAATAATTTTAAATTTTCAAAAGTATTGAGTTTGACAATAAGAAAATTTTCGCAATTTTTATTCTATAGTTCTTCACATTTTAACAATTGGTTTTGAGTTTTTTTAATATAAAAGACCTGTTATTGCAAGTCAAAAACTGAATAAATGGCTAAATTTATCATTTTTTTAATTAAACGCACTTATATGATACTTTTTTAATACATGGTTTAAGTGATGAATTCAAAATAATAGAATGACTTATTTGACCTTTTCCCATAATAATCAATCTTGATTCTACTGTATGAATTGTGGTTTACAATTTTACACAAACATTAAGCCGTTGTTATATTTTTTATGGATTTCATTATCAAATTTAACTTTTTGTAGTCATATCATGTACCATTTTCACATTGACATGCACTCTTAAAATTAAAGAGCAATCATATTTATTTTCAAAAAACATTCACACACCGTGCCGGTGTTATACTAGTACATACTCCGTATTAAAGAGAATTTTTTAAATAAAAATAAATGATAAAGTTTACTAATAAAATTATCATTATTTTTCTTAAAACAAAACCCGTTCAATAATAATTTCGAATATTATACACTTGTAATAGGATCAAATATGTCTTATTATTTGATGAAAGCATATAATCTTATCCGAACACCTTTAAACAAATTAGAACACCTTTATTAAGCGTGATGAAAGCTCTTGCAAATCATGTCACAATATCACCCTAATCACCATAATAACCCTTGCAAATGTTGGATGAATGTTTCCACATAGTCAGTGAAGAAGCCAGGCCTATTTAAGACTTCCTTCAACTTCATGTGATTCTCCCTTACCAAGCACCCAACTTGGCTATCATCATCCATCACTGATTTAACCGCCTTGCAAATACTCTCTTTTGAAAACCCCCCATTTTCATCCCTCTCTACTTCAATAGCTACTTCCAGCTCTTCAGCCATAAGCCTTGTGTTCAAACTTTGGTCAAGAATATTAGGAACAAACACTAGCTGACAGTCACTCATCAAAGCCTCCCACATTGACCCATACCCACAGTGGTTCACAAAGCACCCAACTGATTTGTGCCCCAAAATCAGATCTTGTGGGACCCAACCCCCACAAACCATCCCTCTGTTCCGGACCCTTTCTTGAAACCCCTCTGGTAAGCCTTCTTCTATTGTGCTTGTCCCTTTTGGCGGCTTAAGGGCTACTAGAAATGGAAGCTTCGTTTCTTCAAATCCTAAAAGGAGTTCTTGAAATTGGTCTTTCTCAAGAACCCATTCACTCCCAAGTGCACAGAAAATCACTGAACCGGGCTTGAAGCTCTCGAGCCAGTTCTTGATTTTGGATTCCAATGGCTCTGCTCTAGGTTCTGGCAAGACAGGGCCAGTACAGATGACGGGCTTTCCATATAGAGTGGAAAGGTAGTCACAGTACTTCCCTTCCGATTCCTTCACGGTTTTCACTGCTAATAAATCGCAGCTCCTCATTCCAATGTCACCACGGCCCAAAAACTTTATTACGTTTTCCCGATGGATATTAAAGGCACCAACTGCTCTTCGGGCCTCGTGCTCTTTGAAAAGGACTTTTGAAGAAGGGTACCCTAGCGGAGGCTCCATGAAATTAGCTGTCGTAAAGGGCTTATCCAAATCTACAGATCTTGTTACTTTTATTGCTGATGTAGTTGGACTCATTACTTTGTAATAAACCGTCTTGAACCCGATCTGGAGGCCCAAGTCCGGTACCCAAGAAGCAAAGTCAAAGAAAACAATGTCAGGCTTTTGCTTCTCGAGTATCGCTCGAACCTGGTCCCTAGTTCTGTCCATGGCTAGCGAAAGGACAAAAGAGTCTTTTTCTTCCACCGTGGTTTCAGCACCAGGGGTCAGGCCAGGAACATGAGGGACGGTGAGGGAGTGGAACGTTATGAGATGAGGGTGAAGATTTTTGTTAGCTAGCTTGGAGAGGGCCTTCTTTGGGAGTAAGAAGGAAATGGTGTGACCTCTCTTGGCTAATTCATTAGCGAGTTGGAGGAATGGTATCATGTGGCCATAAGCAAACCATGGGAACATGGCAATTTGAAGCTTTGAATTGATGGGCTTAGGCATCTTGTTTGTGTGCAGAATTGAAGCAATTCAAAGAGGCTTTTAATTTCTTGTGTTTGAGTTCATGGGAATGAGAAGCATGATATGAAGTATTTATGATACGGAATTTTTCTCTAGCAAACATGTGACAATAATAAGGTGATAAACGTGGAACAAACTTGTTGTATACTGAGGTATAAAAAAAAGTAGCTTAGGTATAGGGAGATCGTAATTTTGGTCTTTGGAGTACTCCATTTATTTAGCTTAGGTATACGGAGATCGTAACTTTGGCCAACCTTTAAAATATCCGTAGGTAGGGTCTAAATGATACCCTTTGTCCCAAAATAATTGGTAAAAGAGTTGTGCTAGAGGTACATCATTTGTACCCATTTCTATATGTGTGGTTCACAAAAGCCCAACACATCAAATGAATTGTTCCATTTTAATGAAGTGTCCTGGTAAACCACAAATATAAGGAGGGGTACGAAATGGGGTACAAATTGGAGTAGCAATAACATTTGTGTTGGTACAATCAACTTTTGTTGATCAAATAAGTTTCACTTTATTTACTTATTTACTATGGAGTATGTAACATATAATACTCCGTTCGGTACTAAATAAACTTCATAGTTTAATTTTACAGTTTTAAAGAAAGTGAATTTTTACTTTTGACTTTCCAATCATGTCCTTACAAAAAGTAGATTATGTTTAGTGAGATAGAGAAAATGGGTGTAAAGTAGATATTAAAGTAAGGATATATGAGTAACTTTGTTTTAAAAAGTTACCAAAATAGAAGTGTGAAGTTTATTTTAAAAAAGAAAACGTGGAGTTTATTTAGGACCACATGGAGTATCAATTTTTATTATTACCTCCGTCCCAGAAAATTTTGACATTTTCAAAAACTTTGACCAACTATATCTTTTCATTAGAAATGATTTATAATCTAAAAGTTATATGAAAATGATCTTTGTGAAAAGTACTTCCACAAAAGTATAAAGTTTATAACTTTCATAATATTATGGGAGAACTATCAAATAAGTCCTCGAACTTTCATAAAAAGTGCAAATAAGCCCTTTTAGAGGATGCTCTGTCCGGCCGTTGCTATTTGGGGCGGTTTCCGGTGGAATTTTTTGAAGAAATTTTTTGAGTATCTTCTTCATTATGTTTAGTTTGTTAATACTAAATTTCAGCTAAAAATTCAATCGGGAAGGCACTCAAATGAATTTTTTAAGATAACTGCGCAGTTAGACAGCACAATATATTTCAGAAAATCATGTGATTGCCTTCTCGATTGAATTTTTAGCTGAAATTTGGTATGAGTAAACTAGACTTAATGAAGAAGATGTTCAAAAATTTTCATAAAAACATTCCACCGGAAACCGCCTCAAACGGGGACAGACGGACAAAGCCTCCTGTAAAAGGGCTTATTTGCACTTTTTATGAAAGTTCTAGGGCTTATTTGATAGTTCTCCACTTCTCCCTGATATTATACTAATCAAAATCTTTGTTCAAATTTTATGAAGTAGCAAAATTTTTTGGGACGGAGGTGGTATATTTTAATTTGGATTTTGTGACATTAAAGAATTTTCAATCTAGTTTTCAAATATATAAACTTTAATTATTAAAACTGATTTAGATATCTGCAATGATGATTTAACTTATCAATCCGCTACTAAATATAACTTTTCAAATATGCTTTGTTCTAGATATTTGTTATTGTTAAGATTCCTATAGTTGGACTGCATTTAATCAGTTCTGCATTGTTTTACGTGGTATTCAGTTTTAAAAGAGTGTTATTTTAAGTTAGTAGATGATCTGATATGTGCCCCGGCCTGCAAAAATACACTATTATATGTCTAAATGCATTTTTTGAACAAGGCCATGTATTTCTTGGAGTCCATAATGACTTAATCTCTTCTTTATACTATACTAGCTATCTATTCTCTGTTCTATGTTTTGCTTAACTAATGCAGCCATGCTCTGACTTTCCTTCTCTACTGTTCATATCCTAGCTAGAGCATGTTGGGCTCATCTGTTATATATGGGTAATGCATTGTGGTCTCCTTCTCTTAAGTTTTGCCTCATGCCTTATCTGTTGTAAGTTATGCTTTGCCTTTCCTCTTCTTTCTCTAAGTTAATTCTTCTATGACAGTGTGAATGTATGTGTTGAGCAGTCTGTTTATGGCTATATGTGTGAAAGTAGTATGCTTAGTTCTATGACAGATATAGCCATGTGTGTGGCTGTTTCCAATGTGTTTATGCTTAATTTTATGGTTGTATGTGTTTATTACTAATTTTATGACAATTTGCCTTTATGACTATTAGACTATATGTATACATGAATGTATGATTGCATATATGCCTAGTTTTTATTCCCAGCAACCAAAACTAACATTATAATTCCTTAAAACTAGAAGGATGCAAATTTTAATTTGTAATCTTTGTCAATCTTAATTTCGTTAGAGTAGAAGCATTTATAGTTTGTATTTGATTTAACTAATATATTTTGACTCATTACTATTTTTTTCAACCAGTAACTAGTTTTATACTCTGTATTAATTTAAATCCCAGATTTGCAAGTGAGCAGTCAGTTACAAGTCAATAATTAATTCTATTTTAATCTAAATCCTTGAGTAGTAAGTTAGTAACTAGATATTTTTATTTTAAAAAATAACTTTAGTTTTACTGTTGTGATGTAAAATTCTAGATAGAGGTTGATTCCTAAATCTGTACTACGAATATCCAGTTTTTTTTTTGTTTCCATTTTGCTACACGAAGTACATTTTTCTTGTTTTGGTTTATTGCAAGAGAGCAAAAAGCAAGAAAATTTAGAAAAAGATGATAACGAAGAGTTTATTTAAAATTGTTTGTTAGGCCACGTCTTAAAGGCAAAATGATTTTCAGCCTCCTTTCTACTTTGATCTTAATCTTGATTTACAAATTCTATGATTAGAGTATTAGAGCATTTTTCTTGTCCACATATTTGTTCAATTATTACTAAATATTTTGTTTTTTCTTGACTTTAGGGAAGCTTTTTTTTGTTGACAAAGCAAGACTTTAGGGAAGCTTTTTAATTACTTCATTTGAGTTTTGCTTCAGTCATGTTTCTGTTTGTAATTTCAATTTAGGTTATCTAGTGGATAAGTTTAATCTTCTATGATTCCCTTATCTTTGATAATTATGAGCACTGCAGCTAGATGTTTAGATTGTGTGTTTATTTTTTCGAGAACTACTGCTCAATTATTTTATTTTGTTTTGTTTTTGCATATTTTTCTATACAAGCATTGAAGACGAGATGATGCATGAGGATCGATATTTTTTGCTTAGTTTAATTTTATGGATTAAAACTTGTATGATTCGAGCATCGTTTGATAATTGTGATATTAGAGTATCTTTAGTATTCTTGAATAGTCTAAATGATACATTTTTAGACTAATTGTTCTTTCCAGTGGATTAGTTTCGTAATTTCTTTATGAATTATACAAAACTCATTAATTAATAGGTGCAATGTTAATATTTATTGAATTGTGTGCTAATTGTGCACCTTGATAGGGTGATGAAAAGTGCTTCACCTATAGCAACACTTTTGGCGTTCTAAATGATTTTAATTAGACCATAGATTTTAATTTCGTGGATAACTAAGGGATCATATATGCGATTTTCCCTTATTAAAATGGGAAAAGCAAATATCAAAGAGCTAATTGCAAGGTAGAACATTAATGAAAACTTTAATTAATAAAAAACTGAACCAAAACAACATGTTTTTGGAAGACTTTGGCTTAAATTGATATCTCAACATTTAGATGATAGGTAATCCGACAAATAGAATCCTGACAACTGTTGTCCCGCGAACCAGACTCAGAGTTAATCACCTCATCAGAAGCAATATAACTCGTTGATCCATTAATGGGCACAAATGAGCCAAAAACGCTACGTTACCCCAATTCCGCTGTCACCCACATCTAAATCCAATGTCTTACAATTAGGAAAAACAACATCTAACCAAAATAAAAAACAAACGGAACAGTCTGAGAAGTAATAAAAGCTAAAATAAAAAATAAATATCTGCCTCCCGATCTGGTTGCTCTGCACCCTCATCAAGATTCATGTCTTCTGCCTCTTAATCTTCTTAGGCGAGCCTACTGCTCGAAGCCCGCCTCCTCCCCGTTTTTTATCCCATCTAGAGCCATACTTTCCTTCCCTTGCAGATCATCTCCCTGTGGGCTGTGTCTCCCATAGTCTCATGCGTTTCTGTTCTCCTGTTACTTCTTCCTTATTCTCACCTCCTGCACCCTTTGTTATACTCTGCTCTGACTCAGTCCCCGAATCTTTTCTCCCGACTCTCATCCTATCCTCTGATTTAGCCCCCTCCCCGTCGTACCTATGGTCCCTGCCATAGCTCGATGAACCCTCTAGCAACCATTGGTTTTCTCCTGTAGGGCTCGTCTTCCCTCCACTACCTGCTCTAAGATGAACTCCAAACATTTTCTCCAAAACAAGATCTTCTTCGTAGTTCAAGTGGCAGAATTTGTCTGAGTGTCCAATTAATCCACAGATAAAACAGAAGTTTGGCAGTTTCTCATATTTAAAATCTACCCAGTAACTTTTGTCATCCTTCCTCAAATTAGTACCTCTTTTCATTACTTTTTCCACATTCATACACACTCGTATTCTCATATAGGTCTCCCACTTTTCACTATACTAATTATCATCGTATTTTATAAACTTTCCTATAAAATTTTCAACTCTCCAGGCTGTATCTAAATTACACAGTCAGCCTCAACTAAATTCAATTGAACTTTACATACATGTTTTTTAAGAAGGAGAAGGAGAAGAAGAAAAATCAAGCCAGGTAGAGCTATTCCTATTCCTGTTAACACCATCGCAGCTAAAGTTCCTGTTTATATATATATTTTAATCTTCCAGTAATACAAAAGAGGGAAAATATAGAATAATAGAATAATGAAATTGGGAATTTACGAAAATGAAAAGAGAAATTATTGGTTGAATCATAGAATAATGAATTTGAGAATTTAGAAATGATAAAATTACTTAATAAAATCAATAAATAAAAATATGAACAATACCTCAAATGGAGCGGCACCGGGCGGAATGAAAGGGCGTTGCTCGGAGGCTCTGATGTCATCTCACCCCCAGAAA